AAAAAAAAAAAAAAAAAAAAAAACTTACAATAATAAAAATAAAATAAATACATAAGTAAAATTTAAAAATGTCCAATAAACACATAACAAGATGCTCAACATCTTTAATTATTAAGGAAATGTAAAATGCAAATCAAAACCACACAAGATACCACCTGACATCTAGAAAGACGTCATTAATCAAAAAGATGGACAAAAGAAGTATTGATGAGTATTTGGAGAAATGAGAACCCTCACACATTGTTGGTGATAATGTAAAATGCTGTAGCCACTTTGAAAAAGAGTTCAGTAGTTCCTCAACAGGTTAAACACAACTACTATAACCCACCAATTCTACTCCTGGGCATATACCCAAGAAAAAATTGTAAATGTGTTCATAAAAAGCTTGTACATGAATGTTCACAGCATCATTATTCATAATAAAAAAAAAGTGAAAACAACCCAAATGCCTATCAACTGACTAATGATAAGTACAATGTGGTACATCGATAAAACAGCATATGATTCAGTCACAAAAATGAATGAAGTACTGATATGTGCTACAATATGGATCAACACTGAAAACATGCTAAGTGACAGAGGTCAGGTATAAAATGCCATATATTATATTATTCTATTTATGTGAAATTTTCAGAGTAGGCATATCTATAGAGCACTGGGTCCTTTGCTCAAGGCTTTGCAGGGCTGAAATCAAAGTGTCACCTGGACTAGGCTCCTATCTCTGGGGAAGGTTCTGCTTCCAAGCACATTCAGATATTGGCCAAATTCAGTTCCTTGTGGTTGTAGACCAGAGGTCCCCCCTGCCATATTGGCTGTTAGTTAGAGAACCTTATTGCTCCTAGAGTCTGCATGACTTCTTATGCTTTCCATGTGTCTCCACTACAGCAGTGATGGCTTGAGTTCTTCTCATGCTTTGAATCTCTCTAACTTTTCTTTCTGCTGCATCTTTCTGCCTCCAGTCAGAGAAAGTTCTTTGCTTTTAAGAGCTCATGTGATTAAATTGGACCCACCCAGATAATCCAGGACAATCTATCTATTTTAGGATCTATTACCTTAATTACACTTGCAAGATCCCTTTGCCATGTAACAACATATTCACGAGTCTGAGGACATTATGTGGGGAGCCTTTCTGCCTACTGCAATCACAATTATATGCTACTGCCTTCAGTCCTCTATTTTGAAAAACTGTTCTTGATTATTAAACAATTTTTTTTTCCTTTTTGTCTTTTTTCGTGACCGGCAATGGATCGCAACCCTCAGTGTCGTGCCCGTACCGGACCGGGACCGGCAACGGGATTGCAACCCTCGGTGTTGCGCCCACACCTCGCTCAGCCAGTGAGCGGCCAGTCTGTATGTGGGATCCGAACCCTCGGCGGGAGTGCCGCTGCGCTCCCAAGCGGCGCACTGTAGCAGTGCGCCACTGGGCCAGCCCCTATTAAACAATTTTTAAAGCATAGTTTACTAGGAATGAAGCATAAAGAATGTAATTAATATTTAAGAATAAGCACTGTAAGAAATTATTGTAAAGTTCATATTTACTTTTTGATTTCTGGGTAGATTTTGAAAACAAAATGTATCAAGGTGTCAATAAAAATTGTAGTCATCTTTCCCTTGAAATATTCTCTTCTTTCTGCAATGAGTCATTTCACATTTATTTGAGGCATTTTAGCTGACCTGTTCAACCATGTGTGTGAAAATTTATAATCATCTATTTTTGTTTATTTCGGCGGATAATATACCAAAGTGCCATGACTGCATCCAAGCCTTGGGCCTTTTCTCAACATATGTTTATTCTGGTTATATCCCAAAGGTTATTCTACACATCATTGCTTCGGTGCATCAAAACAGCAATAATTCAGGAGGCGTAACAGATGGGATTGATTTGTCTGTGAATGGCAGATGTTGGTCACTCATTTAGGATTGCCAGTGAGCTGATATGGGTAATAAGGCAGAATAAATTTGAGCTTTCCTATCTGGCTTTCCTGAATAATTTTACCATGCCCAGGATATGTGTTGTTTGTTATCACTAGGCGATCTTTCAAAAGACATGAAAATCCATGTATGATTTAAAAAGTGAAGGTACCTAAACCTAAAAAAAAGTCTCTGTCCTCGAAAATATTTATAAAATACGCTTTCAGCATTTCTACTGATATGAATAAATTAGCTCTTACCTACACCCTCACAGTAATTTCTTGTCAATGTTTTTGTCACTTTCTATTGTTATCATAATTTCTGTAACCTCATTCAGGGCATAACTTAGATGTGATTCCTCTTTACAGCCCTAACATTTTCTAATACTGATACCAGCACAAAGCAAGCACTCAGTTTTTTTGATTACTTAGTTCTATAATTAATGTATTTATTTTACATAGAGCTATTGTGGGCCTATATTGTGTTACTCTAGGTTAAGCCTGGGATGAGAGAGATATATAAGAAACAGATTCTCAAAAAAGTTTATGGACTAGTGAAAAAAAAACCCAATGTGTAAATAAATTACTGTTCTACCATGAAAACTGCTAAATTAAGATTATTAGAGGGCCATAGAGGAGACAGACCTCACTGAGTCTCAAGACTTAGAAGAGGCAGAAAATGTGTGTGTGTGTGTGTGTGTGTGTGTGTGTGTGAACAAAGACTC